CGGGAAGGAAACTTACTTCTGCCAACATGTAGTCCTCATCAGCTAGTAATTCTACCAAATGTGCAGATCCATTTATATCGCTTTTTTCAAATAAAGTAACTAGCATAACAACAACTGCAGTGACATATGTATATATGATTTGAACATACATTTGTAAAATATCGGTTCATATATTTAATGAAATGTTTCAATAAATCATTAACTATTTATTCCTTCCTAATTGATCACATATGTGTGTGTGTGTGTGTGTGTGTAAGAATATAAATGATAAAAAAAAGATTTATCATCAAACAAAAGTGTAATTCGTCAATTTTAAGCAGATATGCAGTAAACTAAAAGAAAAAATTTAAAAAAGTGCTTTCAACTTTCTGAATTTTTCTTTTTCCTTTTCTTTATTATCGGTTGGTTAAATTATTTACTTTGATAGGCTGTCGATAATATTTTGCATTAAATAGGAACGAAAGATTGGATACTATTGAATATATCGTAGTACGAATTGTCATTTAATTAATCTCAAGGTTTAAACTAATTTCTTCAGCTTTGTAATTCGAAATGTTTGTTCAAAATTTTTCTAATAGATTCTATTTATTTGTACCTGTTCTTGCTTACAGCATGCAATGTTAAATGATGCGTGAGAATTGCATTAATAATAAAATAGAATTAATTTCTCTCTTATTTTTGTATTGTAAAATTCAAATCTGAAATCAATCTGAAAAAAAAATTAATTGAAAATTTTAAGGAAAAAAAAAAAACATAATAAAAATTAATAATTTCTGTTGTGAAAGTTATGAATCATTTTATTTCATTTCTTATGATATTGTGCTGTTTTTTTTGGCAATGAAATGGATCAAATTAGAAGGTATTCTTCATTTTAGGTATGCATTTTAAAAGGTCAAGCTTGATTGTGATATTAATCATACTTTTGAAAACTTTTTTGCTATGTTAACACCCTGTATTCTTAATTAATTAATTATTCAAATAATTTTTTCTTCATTAAGTAAATGCAATAAAAGAGAAAGTATTGATAATTTGTGATTTAGGAATTAAATTTTCAAAAATTAGAATTTATAGTTCAGAAATTTTAGCAATGTTAGGCTTCATTTTATATTTATTTCACATGCAATATCATCATTATTTCTTCTGCATATCAAAATTATTTCCTTAATTTAATAATGGAAGAAATAAACTTCAAATGAAATAGCATCAAATATAGGGGAGATGGAGGATGGATGATGATGTGAGAAAATTTTTCGTCGTTCTGCAATTTAAATTCATCCAATCACCATATTTTCAGCATCTTTACAAGAAGCAAAATTTAATTTTACATATTCCAGAAATTTCAGTAATGCATGAAATTCGAATTTGGTAGACAAAATATTTTGCTGAAGGATAAATTTCAAAATATTTCTCAATTGTTATATATTTATGATTGTTTATATCTCTTTCTTTATATCAACTAATATTTAAATGAATAATAATTATTATTAAAGTTCTAAATTCAATTTTAAATAACTTCTCCCCTATGTAACTAATTTATTTCCAATATTTCAAAAGTTTATCTTTCAAAAAGAAAATTGGAATGACTAGAAGAAAAATATTTTTCTTCAAAATATATAAAAAAGAAATGTTTGAAAATCGATTGTGATATTTATATAACAGGTGATAAATAGCATTTTGATTAGTATATTTTCGTTTATTTCATTCAAACATTTGCCGCTTTACATATTGTTTATTCAATTGTTAAAATTACGAATTTTAAAATTTCGCAATTATTTCAAATCAGCAAATTGAATTGCTAAAATTAAATGGTATGAATAAGTCGTGCAGACAATAAATCATTTTAATATTTACTAAAATTCTCACTTTTATACAACGATAATTGAGCAATTCTCACCGTTACATTCTATCAATTCAACACAATTTTATGAAATATACCCAAATAAATTTTAGAAAGAAAATTTATCCTAAAAAATAACAAGAAATTACTAAAAGAAGAAATTACAGGCCTAAAAAAAGTTTATTAATATATTCGCTTTTCTTTTTCTTAATAAAATCTAAAATGAATATATTATTTTTCAACTTTATTTATTATTTCATTTTCTTATTTCTTATTTATTTTAATTATTTCTAATTTTATAATTTATATTAATTTTAAATTTCAAAATATAAATTTTTAAATTAAATAAATAAAGTAAATATGAAGAAAGAGAATTTATTAATTATTCCATTTCTTATTAATTAACTAAATTTATATATGCTTAAATTTTTTGCTTTTAATTTTAAAAAGTTAAGCTTCTTTCTATTCAATAATAGAAATGAATTAAAAAATAATGGAAATGAAAATAAGAAATGGATTATTTAACGAATATTTATTATTTCAGTTTCTTTTTTTTCTTATTTACTTTAATTATTTCCAATTTTATAATTTATATTAATTTTAAATTTCAAAATATAATTTTGTAAAGTAAATAATTAAAGTGAATAAGAAGAAAGAAAATGCATTAATTATTCCATTTCTTATTTAATTAACTAAATTTATATATGTTTAAATTTTGTTATTTTAATTTTAAAAAGTTAAATTTTTTTCTATAATTAATTAGAAATGGAATAATTAATAAATTTGAAATGAAAATATTATGAATAGTTTGAGGTAAAAAAAAATTTCATGAAATAATTGATTTAAAATAAAAATTAACCGAATAGATAGATCAGAGAGAGATATTTGATAATACATTATCTCTCTTTTTCTCTCTCTCTCTCTCTCCTTTCCTCTCTCTTCATTTCAATTCACTCTTTAAGCTTATTTCATCTTTCATTCATCATTCTCATTCCGAAGACTTTATATTCTTCGGGATGTTTGGTTGAATGTGAGTGTGAGGTGATATAATAGTTTGTAGCAATACAACGGCTGTTCCCTTCAAAATTCTCTCCTTTATATCTTTTATATCTTCCCATTTGCATTATTATTATTATCATTATTATCATTCTTATCATTGTTATCATTGCTATCATTATTTATTTTTCACTCATCATCAACATCGTCATCATCATCATCATCATCATCATTATTATCATTCACTGTTCAACAATGTTGAAAATTTCTATATATATATTATAAAATAAAAAAAAAGAAATGTTTATTTACTTTTTATTTATTTATTTGTTTATTTGTTTATTTTTGGAAATTCTTTTTCTTATTTCTTATTTACTATTAAATATCACTATTATTTTTTCAACTTTTTTTATCAAAAATTCTTTTAGAAAATTTATTTTGAAATTTTTTTAAAATAAACTTTCCTTTTTTCTTAATTTAGTTTAATTAGCTCATTTATTTTTTTTTAGTAAAATTTATTTTTCCTTTTATTTTAAATTATTATTTAACAATTTAAGTGCTAATATCTAACATCACATATTATTATTGATTATTTTTTTTTGAATTATTCCTAAAATTTTTTTAAACCAATTAGGCCTTTTCTCTTTATTTCATCCTCAACTATAATTACATTCCTATAAAATGAAAAAATCTTCAAATAATCCAACAATTCACATTAATTTTATCATTACGAAGAATGAAATTAGCACTACAAAATTGCATATTTAATAGTTCGAAGAAATTTTCTGCAAGCATTTTTATTTTTAAAAATTAAATCCATTCCAATTTTTTACAAAAATTCCTTTTTTAAAATAAAAATTTCCTTAGGAAAAACAATTGCTTTGTTTATTTATAATTTTTTGTTTTTGATTTATTTTGTTATTATTGCATTTTGAAGTTTGCACGAAAAAAAATTAAATCCATTCCAATTTTTACTTTTACAAAAATTCCTTTTTAAAATAAAATCAAAATATTTCCATAGGAAGTTTACACGAAAAAAATTAAATCCATTTCAATTTTTAATTTTTACAAAAATTTTTTGGGAAAAGAATTGTTTCGTTTATTTGTCGTTTTTTTTGTTTTAATTTTTGTTTTTTTATTTATTTTGTTATTATTGCATTTTGAAGTTTACACAAATTGCGAAACTTTTGTTTTGTTTACATTTCCAATTTTCGATCATTTTTCCATCCATCTTTCGAGTGTAATTTGATCAACATTAACAGTCTTGCAAATAAAGGTTTTATTGAAATGGTTGAGATGAGATTTTAAAAAAGTGATCAATTCTTTTTTTTCTGCTTTAAAATTTAAATCAACAAAGTAAAAGATTGAAATCAACAAAGTAAAAGAGAGAGGAAAAATTCGCAGAGATTAAATCAACAAAGTAAAAGAGAGAGAGAGAAAATTCGCAGAAATTATTTTGTATTATATATAATTTATTACCTGAAATTAGCATAAATTTTTGTTTTTTAAAATAAATTTTTAATCTTTAATTCTTTTGTTAGCTAAAAAAGCTAAAGCTAAAAAATGTAAGCTAAAAAATTCTTCTGTTTTTTTTAATAAATGACTATTACTTTTTGATTTTAATAATTTTAATTTTAATATTTTAATATTTTTAATTGTAATAAATCTGTCAAGGAAAAAAATTGCAAAGATGCGAAAAAATTAAATGCGAAAGAATTTTATCAAATTATTTAATATTTATGAAATTTAAAAATTTTCTATTTTTAAATTTCTTTAAATGTATTTTGTATATTTTCATTAGTTTGTATTGTTTTTCCCTTTTGTTTTATTTTGTAGTATTATTTTTAAATTTATACTTAAGTGTGTTTTTAACATTTCTATATTTATACTTACGTGTTTTTAGTAATATTTCTATGTCTTTACTTAAGCGCATTTTTAATATTTCTTTATTTATACTTACATGTTTTTAATATTATTTTTATATCTTACGTGCATTTTTAATATTTCTTTACTTACGTGTTTTTAATATTGTTTCTATATCTTTACTTACGTGCATTTTCAATATTTCGATATTTATACTTACGTGTTTTTAATAATGTTTCTATATCTTTACACAAAAAAAAATATATGCGTAAGTATACGTATATTTTTAATATTATTTCTATATGTATACTTACGTGCATTTTTGATATTTCTGTATTTTTACATACGTGTTTTAGTATTATTTCAATATCTTTACTTACGTGCGTTTTTAATATTTCTATAAATATATT